GAATGCTGGCTGGGGAATTCTGGGAGTTGAAGTCCGGACATCTTCAAGTTGTCAAGGTTGGGAAACACTGGTTTAAGCAACACCTCAAGTTTATCATGATGTTTTATCTTTATCCTATAATTTTTCTCACTCTAGATTACAAAAGCTAACATCTAGAGAATGAAGAACACCCTGGAATTACCCTGGAATCTCACTACTTCTGAATGTCTGCTACAAATAAGGCTTTTGGTATTCACACATCTCTAATTCACAATATTGGAAAGTAGTTATTGCAATACCTCCTCCTGTTCCCCCTTCTTTTGGCTCTTCCACTCATATAATTACACCACTGTGTCTATAATAATATCTTAAATGCCAGCAATATGTTCTGCATTCAGTAGTTCAATGTGTATATAGTGCATCATGCAGTAAAACAAACAGCTGTACCCTGTGTGGAATCATTCAACCTTCTGAACAAATCTCTACAGTAAGTCTCATTTTATTGCATAGGGAGAATGCTCTGCACCATCCACAAGCATTATTTTTTTGATGGAGGGCTAGCACTTAGCTTTTGGGAAACCATTGGAACTGCATTTTGAGGACATTACTTGTGGGCTATAATGGTGGGTACCCAGCTGTCTTTTCTTTTTAAAAACATGGCATTATTGTATTATCATGTATGTAATTTATACTTGGAAGCAAGATAAGCAGGAAAGTAATGGAATCTGGATGTTGGCCATCTTTTCAGTAAAGACGGTTGTGGCCATAAGAGAACGTGTTTATGCCCTAAACCTGGAAAAGCTTTCTCCACAGAGTTAATGTGTATGCCCAACAGCTTTTGCCTTACCTTGCAAATGGGTACACAGGTTTACTTTGCACATATAAATATGCACACATTTCTTCGGGTGGGATAAGTATACTAAGTGATTCGAGGACCATCCAATTTTTAAATATGTTTAATAATTGTTATTAATATAATACAATGTAATATAGAGACTTAAAATTTCTAATAACTTGGTTGAGAATATGGGTTTCTTGAGCATTTAATATCTTCTGAGGTGAATATAATTTATAACAAAAGTTTTCTTCATCTTGGAAAATAAAATAGGATGTTAGCAATAAGCAGCTTTCTATTTTTGTATTCACAAAAATAGGGAAAAGTTCTCCCAGATTAGAAAAATTATCAGTGCAATGCAATATGCACTCAAATTCTTTTTCTATGAAATTTAGAGGCTTCCCCCTCCTTTTAGACTAATTTAAGAGCCAGTAAAGATTCTGATATGTATTCTATATAAGCATTTACTGTATATCTGCAGTATTTTACTTAATTGCTTGTTTGTTGAAGGGCTTTTTTAATGTAATTTGGGCATAAACTAAGCAAAGTGCAGGCCTCTAGTATTAGTTTGATTTAAAAAGTCCAAATTCATTCATAGAAAATAAAAGAGTGGATGGCTATAGCTCAGTACTATCATTGAAGTATGCCTACGACAAAGATATGGGATGGAGGAGACCATCCTGATTAGAAGCAGAGAGCAATCTCCTCTATTTTATAGTGTGGTAAATGGTACATTATGCCTGGACATTTTTGTGAGTATCCATTATATACTGTCAACATTCAAAATGTACCCACCATCCCTACCTTATTTTCATTTCCAAAAAGATAGGTCAGCACTTGCGATTTATTTATTTATGTAATTTTTGTTCTACTTTTTTCTCACTTCCTTTTCTGCTGTGATGGGCTCTCTCTCTGGAACAGACTGAAATGTGTTTATTTCAAACTCTGTTATTCTTCAAAAAAGATCTAAAAGCATAGTTTTCCCTTAAGGCACTGTGCCAGGAGCCTGGTTGTTTGGGAGCCCTAACTGTATGGTGTTATGTCAATTTTGGCATGGTTCCTGTTTATATTGTTGGTTTAAGAATAATTTTGTTTTTTCTTTGATTTTATTGAATATATACCTTTCACCCTGGCCTGGCTGATAAGGAGTCGAGGTCTGTAGCTCAATGGTTAACACATCTGCCTAAGAGGCAATAGAGCACAGGTTCGATTCCCAGCAAGGGTATGGCTAGCTGATGAGAGCTAAATAGCTTGAAATAGATCTATACTAGCCGCCCTTTATTTATTTATCAGCACAAATATAACATATATACATATACATATACATATACATATACATATACATATACATATACATNGCTCTCTGAGGTCTTTTTTCATCCGGCTTTCTACAGAGCGAGAAAGCCAGGCAGCCATTCAGGTCTCGCACATGTGCAGGAATATAGGAATTGACAGCTTCACAAGGAAGGAAAATCCTTTCAGTTGAAGCATTAGTTATCATTTCCTCTAGAACTCCTCAGACTTTTCTTTATTCATCTGTGTTAAATCACAACCTTTTACACATAGATAAAACTTTTAGCCAAAAGTTACCATAGCACCTATGGTAAATGGAGGGCCTAGAAATTCTTACAGTGCAAAGTAGTTGGCAAGATTGGAATTGTTATTTATTTATTTAGAATATGGCATATCATACATGGACTAGCAATATAAATTAACATTTTAACTAGATTAGTGGAGCCTAATAAAATACAAATGTTAAAAAGATCTATGTTCCAATATCAATGTCTAGGCCATCTAACCATTGAAGCACAGCATCGTTCATATTAAAAAATCAGATGTTACACTGGTTTCATTTAGAAAAAGTGCTTTACATTCTTCTCTGGAGTTTCTGAAGATAACAGACACTCGAGGCGAGAATGAGAGAAGAGTCATTACCCCCATTGCTTATTTAGTGCCTATCTCAGTTAGCGACCATTTGCAAATAATATTAATTTTAAAAAATTCTGGCCAATGCAAACCTTTATGACCAAGTTTCATAGGTCTGACAACAATAAATGTAATAGTGAAGGTAGCCCTTGTGTAACAGTATGAATGTTTTATCTGGATGGGTTAGAACTATCACTGATTTTTACAGCATCATTCTCTCTCTCCCTTGCGCTCTCTCTCTCTCTCTCTCTCCTTCTCTCCCTCCCTCCCTCTTTCTCAATCACATGTTCATTTATGACCATTTTGCTTAAAGACCTGGTCAATGAAATGGAACTCAGTCACTAAATGAAGAATGGGTGTATTAATATCAATGCATAAATACATTCTCAAATGTTTATCTAGAATAATTCCTAAAATGTTCAAAGTATTGTACAAAGATGTTGATGAGTCTTCTTTGCTTTGTGATAGTGAAGCTATCGACAAGAGCCGAGGCGGCGCAGTGGTTAGGGTGCAGTACTGCAGGCCACTTCAGTGACTGTTATCTGCAGTTCAGCGGTTCAAATTTCACCAGCTCAAGGTTGACTCAGCCTTCCATCCTTCCGAGGTGGGTGAAATGAGGACCCAGACTGTGGGGGCAATATGTTGACTCTGTAAACCGCTTAGAGAGGGTTGAAAGCCCTATGAAGCGGTATATAAGTCTAACTGCTATTGCTATTGCTATTGCTATTGCAAAGCCTAGTTTGATGTTTCTTCTGACTCACAGAAATCTTGCTCCTAGAAACATATTCTTGGTTACTCTCTAGATTGGGAAAACATTTGCAATTCGTTGATGGCTTTATTATGTAATGATTTGGCTGCAGTTTATTTTAGTTATGTGGGTTGAAACAAATAGGTGTTAACTTCATATTGATCAGTTGTAAATAGACAAGAAGTGCATCTGGCAAAGTGAGGATTTGACTCTGAGACATTTATTTAATTAATGCAAATCATTTTCTATTTTTCTGGAACTAGCTGCTTATAATTTATTTTTGTAACCAAGAAATAGCAGCTGTTGTTTTGATTTCTCTGAAGAACTCCCCATCATACAGTTGCTGAAACATTTAAGGAATCTTTTTACCAAATGGTGTTACAGTCCTTAATAATCTTAATGTGCATCTGTCACAGAGGCAGCTTGCTCAAAATTCCTGAATACCATCACAAAGACTTAGCTGGACTGATATTTTCTTTTATTGAAATCACATTGAAATAATTTTCTTAGTATCTACATACCAAGCCACACACAATTCAGGTGTGTGAGACATTTTAGCCATAAATTTGAATGGGAGCAACATGGTTCCCACTGTGGAACAGCTGGTATAGAGAATGAAATATTCAAAGTCTTCCATATAGAAACTAGCACATACAAAACAGCATGTATTTGTAGAACATGTACCATGTTTCCCCGAAAATAAATCAGACTCTTATTTTCTTTTGACCCCAGAAATAAGCGCTTGGCCTTATTTCCGGGGAGGTCTTATTATTTTTGAGGTGCAGGAGGCCTCTTAACCTTGGCCCACAGATCAGCTGATCCAGAGAGGGTTGGAAGTTCTGTCTGTTTCTGGCA